TCAGCTTCAAGCACTCCTGTCTCAAATGAGCCAGCAGCCCGCCCAGGGCGCACCTCAGGCCGGTGCCTTCGGTCTCAACCCTCAGGACCAGGGTTACCAGCAGTTGATGATGCTCGCGCAGATGCAGCAGCAGCAACAACAGCCTCAGCAACAACAGCCACCCCCTGCCCCCGAGCCGCCCGCTGTCGATCAAACCCCGGAGCCTTCGTATAACAAACCATCCTACGGACGGAAGTTGATCGATTACAGCGACCGGGACAGTCGGGACGAATCTGAGGAACACCGTGGGCGCGACCGGGATCGGAACCGCGATCGCGAGGGTGGCAGGGGCAAGCAGGGTAAGAACCGCAAAGGCAACGCTCCAGGCGGGGCCACGCTCCCTCCTCATCGACCGGTCAACCGCGCCCTCATCGGAACCAAGCCTTGCAGCTTCTGGCAACAGGGCAAGTGTGCCAGAGGCGACAAGTGCACCTTCAGACACGACAACTAGTCCGCACCGCCCACGCGGCTCACTGTACATATCCAACTTCATTTGGCTGAATTTAGGGAGATGGGCCCCCTTTTCTTTTGTCTAAAAACCGCCCAATAATCGAGGCGGAGAAACAAAATCGGTTTATTATTCACGGAACATGGGAGAAAGGGGTGGCCGGGGACAGGTACGGCGACTTTTCTACTTTGATTTTCTCATATCGGCATAGCATCATGGGTCCGGTACAGCATTTGCATCGTCGGGGAATGACCGTAAATCAACGGAAATGAAGGAGAAACGGACGCATATAGGAAGGGGGACTTTGAATGCATTGAGATGCGGTGCGATTTGCATCGCCTGCCAGATGGATGTCTGGCGAATACTGTACACTAGCTAGTAATTGTCCACGAATGACAATACCCGCCATTGGCCACACCTTTTATGCTCTGAGACGTCGTGACTGTAAATCTAGACAGATTCGAGTGACTTGGAGTACCAAACTTTGAGGCATGCTGATAGTGGAAGGGAAGGAATGCTCCCAAATTTGAATCCAGAGTCCACTTCGATATGCCTTCTAGACAGGGTGTCGAGCCTGTTTGATTCACAGGTTTCGCGTGCTAGCATGATCACGAGCGCTGGATCGTCAAGACAAGATTCGTTGATCCTGAGTACGGTGCCGGGTATTCTGTTTTTGGCTGTTTGGCCTGTTGTGTATAAGAGAGATCCCACGGTAGCATTACGATTGGAACCTTCGCCACACAAATTCAATCACCGTTGCATATGTCTAGTTCCGGCGTACAGGATCCACTACTTTCCCGATCTCCTTCTCGGGCACCCTTGTTTGCAGCGACATGTCTCTTCGATGCCGCATCAAGTACCTTCCGTCATCTCTGCGGCGGTATTCTATTTTATACGCAAGCCTGGAGGCAATCTTCGGCAAGATTTGCGGAAAAGGTGGCACGCAGCATATCATGATGTTCCCAAAGCCGCTGCAGTTGAGAGAATGGCGAAAAAGACACAATGGAGGACTATCTCCTGGTTGCGTTTTTCAAGGGCCCATTGTCATGATTTCTCTTGAAATATATGTAGTTGCGAGTTGCGTCTGAAGCTGGGGCGGATGGAGTCAATGATATAAACGAGGTCAGGTTGTCTTCCGTTGAACAGCGACAAATATCTTCTCGCGCTCTCTGCGTCTCGAATCGATGGGAATACGAGTAGTCTTTAGCCTGCGGATAATCAGGTCAGGAATGATACTTGAGAGGTCATCGTCCGAGGTTACTGGTCCTGTCTGTCTTTGTCTTCTATACGAAACCATGGATTATTCTCTTCTATGAATAGGTACTGACCTACGAGGGCGCTTTTTGGAGTAGTGTTGCTGAATTGCATACGACGGACTCATCTCTGCGGAGTACGTCGAAGACTCAAGGAATACCCCTTTCTACCTTACATATTGGTTGAAGAAATTAAGCTATGCAAAGTACACTATCATCACAGCCTTTGTTCCTCCGCATCGACAATCACAAGGCTCCTTCTAGAAGGTGTATTATCACTGAGAGAATCCATAATGCGTGCTGTGTGCGGCTGACTGCAGGGCAAGAATGACAGAAAAGTCATCGTGACATCTTGTCCCTCGTGCTTGAGTACGGCTGCAATGACCCAGTGACTCTCGTCGAGCGGTGGTCACCTTATCAGATGCCAGTTTCCCATTATGTGTACGACGTGAGAGCTCTTCTACCGGTGTAGCCTTCGTAATACACCAGATGAATACTCCTTGGATGATGACTGATACCACACAATACTCCCGAATGATGGTCCCGAGTCTCGGCCGCAACATGGTCCAATGATGGTACAGCTGACAGTCGGCGTCCTAAGCCAGGTTCGAAGATGCGACAAACTCAATGGAGCATGGGACTTCAATTTTTGCTGAGTACTCACGTCGGAAGACCGGCGAGCTTATATGTTGCAACGCGAGTGACCAGCTTCATACCAGGAAAAATGAGTTTGGGGTACGAAAGGGCAGACACTTCGTAAGGATGAAGGTTCTAAGGGAGTCGAAGACCCGTGGTGGTACTATTTAACCGTGAACTCGGTGGGGTTTGCTTGCAACTTTTCTGACAGCCCAATCTCTTCTCATGCGGTCGACTCATTCATATGGTGTTAATCTTTGTCTCATTACGTCGAACCGCTGATTTATGCCTCGTTGCAGAGGGAATACGGCCCAGATTGCCTTTCATTTGGTCTCATCATCGATGATTGCTACTATCACAAAACTCCCTCAGTTTATTCATTTGAATCAGTCCAAGTCGGTTCTGCGCATTTCTGTGTCCTTATGCTACGTCTTTTTAACCATAAATATCCCCTTTATAAGTCACCACGCCTCCCCCGGTCAGAGTTTGTGACGTTGATAGAGGAAAACACCAATTACATTATTTGAACCAGAGAGAGCTTGGGAAAAGGATTTGAAAATGTTGAATAAATACGCAATCGACGCAACTTAGCAACTTCGTCAATCTTCGTAAACCTGATGTTGAAAGAAAGGGTATTCGCACATTCAATATGGTAATCAAGTGAGGGTAGGTGATCAGAGTATCATTATGCTTTCGTTCCCATCCAATTAATGCTGCTAATGCCCATTTGAGCCTGGGTCTCCTCACGTCCTATACATCATCTTGATTCAACCCGCCACCCTCAAGAAGCATAAGTATGGAAGACCTTTGAAATAACCTTCCACTCCCCGTCAAACTTCAACAATGAGTGAAAGTCCGTGTAGCTGTTTCCTGCTGCGTCCTTCTCCATGTCCACCCTCACCACAGCTGTCGTCGGTGTAATCGCCAGAATATCGCACCGCGCCTTCATCTGAGGAGCCGCCCCGGCGCTGCTGATGAAGTCGTAGAGGTTCTGGATGGGGCCGCCGAGCAGGGCGCCGTCCGCCATGTGGCCGTACATTGTGGCGTCTTTGTGGAAGCCCTGGGCGAGGAGGGCGCTGTCGCCCTTGGCGCAGCCGCCGATGTAGAAGTCTTGGACGACCTTGACGACGGCGTCGTATTCGCTTGTGGGGATCGTCTTGACGTTTGACATGTTGGTAGATGTTGTTCGGTTTGACTGACAGGTGGTTGCCGGTCTGTTTTGAGAAGGTGGTAGTTGAATTATGGTTTGCTGGATGGTTTGAGAGTTATCGTCTGAGAAGCAGTTCTTCGCAACCTTCCATCATATATATACCGTCCTTCGGGACGTGGGGGAGAAACAATCTCACTGAAGCCACAATCTCACCTAAGCCGTTGCTTCATTCCACTCACCAGTCTCAACCAAGTTACACAGTCTTGTCATCCCTCTCCTCTTTGGAAGAAACAGCAGCTTACGTGGACCAGCCAAGAAACAAAATGGCACATCGTCTCCAGGTTAAACTTCCCCTCCTCACTGATCTCACGCGAAGCGACTGAGGCAATCGTGCTTGGCAGTTGCAGATGGCGCTCCGTGCGTGCTGATCACCCTCGGTTTGTAGCATGTCAGTGGGCCGTTAGGGGCATATTTAGCACAGTTTGGAGGGTCACAGTGCTGAAACAGAGCTCACGGCGCCTGTGTGGGTCATACGGAGAGGCGGACTCGGGAGCCACGGGGCATGACCGCAACACTCGGAGCTGGCACCGGCTCCCTGAACCTTATGGTTGACCGGCTCGGCGGTCTGTCAGCACTACCTCATGCGGCTTGAATATCGGGAAATTTTCGAGAACTTTGTGGATTCAATGCGACCCGCAGACACGTGAACCCCTAGCCCGCTAGACGTCGTTGTCTTTCATTGGCGCAGTAACTTCAGCCGTTGAAGGTCGTGATGCTTATTCCTCGATCATACTCAGCGATTCAAATGCATAAACACCACTTGATGTTCTTGAAGGCGGCCCGGATGTCAATCCACCTCATTGCACTCGCCGTACGCTAGAATTTCCTGCTAAGCTCGAACTGGAAGGAAGTGCACAAGCTGCCAACCACCATCCGTTGGCCCTCTTCAAATGCTACCTCACCAAGTGCCGTGTAGTGTTCAAGCGGGCTAATAACAATACACGCTTCAATACACCGCCACATCTGATGCACTAAGTACACTATGAGGCGGTTGTCAATAACCCAGAAGGCTGAAGACCATTAGGACGGACAGTGTGGTCTACACATATGTTTTCTGGGGTAACACAAAGGCAGGCAACACTGATGTGCGTGAACTGCGCCCAATGAAGACCACAGCAAGAAGGTTGCAGCGCGAAAAGGTTGCTACATTCATTAATGACAGGCTTGGCATTGAACACTAAAATGGACAGCCCGGGCAGACTATTCCCTATCCATCGCGGCCGTTAACAGGGCTGAAAAAGAGCATTTATGTTGGGCGCCACCCGTGCCGTCCCCCTTCTTCAGCGGGGTAGCATTTTCCCTGCCATGGCCCATGGCGGCTACCAACTTCCCACCGAGAGACCCGCCAGAACCCCAAGCGCGCAACTCGCGACTCTCAATCCATCAGTCGATGTGAATTCATCGTTAATGCGCGATGGCGCCTCAGGCTCGTCACATGTGTGATCCGCAAACCAAGACTTGCTCCTCAGGGATGGATTCAGATGCTGATTCGGCGGGTGCCGCCTCTGCAATTGATCCTGGGAGGCCTTTGGTGCTTGTGACGAGGAATGATGTTGTGCATCCGCAGTCGCAAGAAGATTGGGAGGAGAAGAAGGAAGGTATTCGGCACCTGTATCTCGAGAGGAATCTTCCGTTGAAGGAGATCAGGCGAATCATGTATGAAGAGCATTCCTTCTCTGCTACGTAAGCACCAGTCCCAATGCGAATTGAAGGCTGATCCAGTTCGCTGATAACCCTGGGCTATCCTCAGAGAGAGAATGTTCAAGAGACAGTTCCTCAAATGGAATTTCAGGAAGTACAACACACAGGGGCTCCGGAATGACCAATATGAAGGCCAACCCGTAGAAATGCCTCCCGGGAAGACTTGCAAGAGGCCCTCCCGAAGAGGCGTCAGCAGCAGAACCCCGGCACAACACCTTTCGAGGACCGGCCGCCCTCCTCTAGCCCTTGTAAAGACCATGGCGCACGCGAACCTGACTGACCGGCGGACGCAAGAGCTATTCGTCAACCTCAATGACCTGATCCAGGGCGGCTCCAGAAACCATGCCGGGTGGGACCTCCATCTGCGGTTCGACTTTCTGCCCTCCCCGGCCATCCACCTCCTGGAAATGTTCGAGCTCTTCAACCGGCTGCCTGCCACTCTAAACCGCCAGCGCGGGGCGGTACTGCGGCGCGCCTTCCTGATCCTGGAGGACGTGATCATGCACGACCCCGTCGAGATGTTCCGCACCGTCGTCCTGGACGCGCCCCACGTTATCCCCAGCTTCGACATCCTGTCCCCTTACCTCGTGCACTTCTACCGGCTGCTCTGCGTCAACAAGAGAGAGGGCGAGCCCATCACGCAGCTGGTCAGGCTGATGCAGCAGATCATGGCGGGCGCCTCGGAGAAGGAGCTCTTCTGGGGCATCGGGCGGATGCACGAACACTGCCTCAACTACTACGGGCACGTCCTCGGGCGGAAGAGCGAGCTCGACCAGCGGGACGGCGTGGACGTGCGATGCGGCGAGCAAGGACCTGCGCATCGGCACACGATTGAGTGCTACAACGGGGTTCTGACGGACGCCATCACGCAGTTCGGGCCGGCGGCGGACGAGGTGATCACCGTGGAGCACAATCAGGTCGTGGCGACGGCGTTTCTGGACGCTGAGTGGGACGGCTTCCGGGAGCTGTGCGGCAGGCACCTGGACAGGCTACATGCTGCGGACGAGGGGCCTATGGACCAGTGGAAGAGTAAATCGCTGGAGCGGTATGCCTGGGTTAAGTACATCGCATCCAAGCTGGCGGTCAAGCTCGGAGATGTAGAGGCCGGGGTGGAGTGCCTAAAGGAGGCCATCCGTGCCGCCGAATACTTGGAGGCCCAGGATAATGCGTGGAGGGAGAGTGCTTCGTGTCATGTCCTGAGGTACCAGATCGAGTTGGAAGATGTTCTGCGGAGGATTGATAGGCTGGAAGAGGCGAGGGATGTACAGGCTACTATCACCTCGTCAAAATACCTGCGCGACTTGGTGCGGAGGGATATGGCTGAAAATGAGGCCTATAGATAAGGACGATGGCAGGGTCTTGGGGAGTAAGACTACTGAGGGTGTCAGGAAAGGAGAGACGAGGTTCAAAAGGTGACGATGGTGGCAATGAGAATACCAGGGACAAGCTCCCTGGGTACCTATAGGTAGTCTGCCCCGAAAAGAAAGTCGATTTGTGGTTCGCGTCGGACTTTCTCAACGTGGGTGGATTCGGAGGAGCACCCGCGCCACTCGGCAGCATGGTGTTCATGCAAGGGCTTTTTAGCTTCTCGGGAGCAGGCATCTGGCACAACCAACGAGATCGCACGTTTCTTTAAAGGACCTTGCATATGCACATAGGAGATTGTCGAGCCATGCGAAGTTGGATATTATGTGGCTTCCGTATTCTATCAACCAGGGACAAGAGACATTCGAAAGGTGTCGGAAGTTTCATTATCTACCAGAAGGCTTGGCATGCTTTTCTTATACATAAGTATTTCGGGTTTCAACTTGCGGAACAGGAGAACCGCGCCTCTGTATATCTATACACGTGCAATATATACATAACGACAGAAAGCTCAATATACAGAGTGATTTCAGGATCAAGTTGGTGCTTTAACAGCCGAGAAACGCTTGTCTCCAAGCATTCCTGTAGCACTCACAGGTCAGCTTTTGGGGCTTTCCAACCAATCCAGGATACTGTCCCGTGGATTGCTTTCGTCTTCCGCAGAAAGGCTGCAGAAGCTTGGAGATTATATAGGAGCCTCTTAAAAGAGTACTACTCGCATACCTACATACGATCAAACAGGGAAACAATGCAAGAAACAGATCATGGTCTCGCCCACATCAGGAGAGATGCTGCCGTAATAAACCGCCTCATTAGGACTGAAATCAGACTCAAGATGGTATTCTGCTTGAATATGGCAGAATACTTACGCATCACGAGAGTTGCAGGGAGTGGAGAAAGCTGGCCTGATCTCCGACTGCGAACTCCTGCCGCGACCTCATGGCAGAAACGACGAAGAGCCACGCCACTGAATACTTCGAATACACAAGGAGAATTGTTAAGAAATGACGCTGCGCAAAGATTGACAGAGATTGATTAATATGACTGACTTGGACGGATTCGAGAGAATCCGCCTGCTGACAACTACCAAGGTAATTTCAGATATCAAGGCCAAGAAAACGACATTATTGCTTGGACAACTGGTGAGTTGCACTGGGCTTGGTAAACATATAGGAACCAGGGATGAAAGGATGCGATGCTGGGTTCGGTGGCTCTTCTCACTCAGATCCTCAGTTTCAGGTTGGCTGGCGTTGTTTAAAAAGTCCTGTAATCCAAGTTCCGACTTCTCTGCAATCCATTTTGACTCTGTAGGACCTTCTAAAGAGTTTGGGCGCATCGCCTTGACTTCGATCCCGGGAGACGATGGAAGATTTGCAAAGGATGAGTTGAGCCGTTCCGCATAGCATGAAGACATAAGTGCTTTAAATACACAACCAGGAATGGGTAGAAGTGACGTTGTTTGGAAACTGATGGAGGCAGACCAGCCAGTCTGCTTACCCTGAAAAATGTCTCAAAATGATTGCGATAGCTGACATTAACACTGTTAGCCTCAGCCAAAACTAGAAGACCGCCTTCACATTGCTTGTGTGGATGGACTGAGTTATGCGGATCCGTTCAATGTATAGGGGCATTGGCAGGAGCCTCGCAGGCCGTCATGGCTCGCGATGAACGTTTTGCCTGTTATTCGTCAACTGTACATATACGAAGTCAATATTACGCTGCCCAAAATAAAGACTGCTAAGAAACATGGCTCTCGGTCGAATTCTTTCCAGATGATGATGACATATGGTACTGTATGTACAAGAAGTATTGCCTAAACAAAGTCAATTACGCTGTCCTCAACAACCTCCGAGAAATGAGCTCGGTATTTCTCTTTCAATGCTGCTTCCTCCGCACTATCGTCATCCAATGCAAACCACTCACGAGGCATAAGTCCCCGCTGCGGTGAGAGCCAACGAACAGTCGATAGAAAGCAATCCCCCACTAACTGGAAAGTTGGAACACAAGCGTCCTTGCCTAGGTCCTCATCAACGCCCCCTGGGACTGAACGCACGAGATACGTCCGCGACCACAGGTTCGACAGCGAAAGGGGGCGCATGCGGTTGGAATCTGATTGAGCTGAATGAAACGGGATTGCCATGATCCTGTCATCCAAGTCAAGCAAGTTTGACCCAATCCCCAGGATATCCATGGGAGATGCGTTAGGAGGCGTGTTTTCCACGTCGCATGCGAAAACACAACGGCCCCGCATAGTAAACGCAATAACGCGCACAAGCAGTTCCCAATTTTCATGACAACTTTCATACCATTCTCCATGCCATTCTTTATACAATTCTTCATGGGAGGCAAAGTCGATATCGGACAGTATGAGTACCTTGATCAGGAATGCTACTTCGGGCGCCACAAGTTCGGAAGTGTCTCGCCTAGTGTGGAGGGCGTCGCTGCCGTGGTACAGTAGGTCGATGTCTCCACCCATGTGTTGATGTATATTGCACCAGGATGCTGCATAAGAAGGCATGTCCTGCAAATTCAAAGATTCGTGGAGTGTCTCTGCAAAGTCGCAGAGGCGGCCTGTCGATTTCGGACCGTTTTCGTCACCGTCTATCAACATGCTCCCGGCAATAAGGACGTAGGAAAATCGTTCAGCCAACTGGTCTCTAACTGACCCAGGAGAGTGTTTGATAGCTTGATATGGTGCGTCGCATGTTGCTTGTAGTTTGACGATCTCCCAGAGCTCGTGGAATATCTTTTTGATACATGTCGCGACATCGTGCCAAGACTCGGTCGATGACGGAAATGTTTCGCTTCGCCATGTAACTCCGAAGGGGGCAACGCTTTGGCAGTTGTCTTTCCTGGCATCTACGGAAGAGTGAGTAATGCAGGTCAGAGGCAATTGCATGCGAAAAACGGGCTGCTTGGTGTGTTGAGATTGTGCGGGCGACAGAGTGATGCTGAACGTAGGCTGATCGGGGTCATTGCCAGTCCACTCCCTAATATCCCGACCCTCAAGGCGACAAATGGGGTATCGTACATCGTTCCCATGCGTCCAGAAGCTCGGCCGCCGACTTTGAATTCTCCAGTCGGGAACCCAAGAAGGCACCATATCCCGCTCTTCTCGGAAAACAGGGCGGAGAGACTCGAGGCGAGCCGACGCCTCTCCAAGCACCCACGGTAGGTTTCCTGCTTCCCCGATACTACGACCAAACATAGTATAGATGTCTCCGACGCTGGCTCCCTCCTCGTAAGTGACCATTATCTGTGGCCGACGGACTCGGTGAAGTAGGGCGCCATTATGGGCTGTACCGTCGAGGGCTTGGCGAAAAGTTGCTAGGTCCACTTCTCGAATGTCTACATCCTCGGCCAGGGAGGCGAGAGTAAACACTCTATCTCTCGGGTCCGCACAGTCATACTGATCGAAAGATTGCATGAGTTTGCAGATGCTACACTCTTGTGTATAGTAAGGCGATTTGTTCCCATAGCTGTCTCCATGGAGAACAGTCCGTATCCAGTTCATCTGCCAGACAGACGCGGCGCGAATTGCTAGGGTGGACGAAGCTTCGCCGCCTTTCTTGTAAAATATGTTGTAAGCCAGATGGCAAACGCTTTCAAAGTTCCGATCGTCGTTTGCAGAGAACACATTGGTGTTTTTATTGAGCACAGCCTCCTGAATGACCCAACGACGGCGGAACCAAGGGTGATCTAGGAGGATGTAGTCTTCCGGCTCCGGAGATAATTTGCGGTACGGATTCCCATCGCCTCCTAGAGCTATCTCTCCCAGCCAGATTAGCACCCCGGCGGCGTCTCGGTAAATGGAAGACATTAATGGAATGTGGTGCGCTTTTTCATTCGGGTTGCCCTGATCGATACATACAGCGTCTGCCCAGAGGAGCCGAGTTTGGGCAGAGCTGGAGTAGTCTCTGAAGCGTCGAAGGGCCCCATCAAGATTCGGAGTGATGGGTACTCGGCTGAGGGTGAGTTGGCAGTTGGTCAAAGCCGGATTGTCCGCAGTCTCGTCAACAACGATGAGATCGCATGTGAATTCAGGACGGCCCCAGGTGTAAGAGATAGCCTCGTATGTCGCTTTCGCCTGTGCCTGTTCGACAACGTGAATTCGACAACGGAGATCATCTGATGGATCAGCTGCCGGGAGGAGTTCGAGAATTCGTGTGTGTGACCCAGATGGCAATCGGGAATGGCAATATCGAGGCAGGTCTCTGCCTGGCATATCCCGTGGTGAGGCCATGAGGCTGTGATCGCCTATGGCTGCAGGCTTTTGCGGAAGGAAACGAGGGCTATAGTATTTGTGCGTTGTGTCGAAGATAATGGGACGAGTTGGTGCGGCGTTGGTGACTTTTGGAGCAACATGCAACGTCATCCAATAGCATGTCATAACATCCGTTTGATATCCAACAAGTGCTTGGCATGTCAGCATTATGCAGACTTCGTTGATTGTAGCCAGTGACGCTTACTACAGCTATATGAAATAGCATCCAATCACAGCACTAAGATCCCACACTCAGCCCACATATCTCACAGTATGTTTTCATCAGAACATACATCAAGAACCTGATGCATGATTTGTTACATGGGCATGGCATCAAGTTGACAGTCACAGACTTTTACACACTACCGCTAGTTATAACTAACTTCTCTTCACTTGATGCCGCTGTCTCTTTCATTACTCTATTCTTACCCATGCATCAGGCTACAATGGTGTACAGATGAAGCTCCCCTCACAATGCGCGCTTCTTTCCAAGAAAGCACATCTCACCATCTCTTACGGCTTGCCATCTACTTTCGCCGAACTTACATCCGGATAGACATCAAACCTCCTCTGCGTGTTAACAGGAATGTTCCTCCTCGCCTCCTCAATCTTCGTGCCGTCCAGCTCCCACGCAACAGTCGTCTCCCCCTCCTCAGCCTCCGTCAGCACGTTCGCCATCGGGTCGATGATGAGACTGTGCCCCCACGCATGGTACGTCGCGTCCATGTCGCGCGCGGGGCTGCACATGGCCACATAAATCTGGTTGTCCACCGCGCGCCCCTGGCCCAGCAGGCGCCAGTGCATCGGGCCCGTCGTCAGGTTGAACGCGCCCGGGTACACGAGGGCGAAGCACCCCTTGCGCGCCGCGATCATGGCCAGCTCCGGGAAGCGGATGTCGTAGCAGATGGCGACCGAGATCTTGCCGTACTCGGGCAGTTCGACGACGGTCACGCTGTCGCCGGGGCTGAGCACCTCGGACTCGCGGAAGGTGATCTTGCCCGGGATGTCGATGTCGAAGAGGTGCACCTTGCGGTGGCTCGCGAGCAGCTCGCCCTTGGGCGAGAAGATGAGGCTCGTGTTGTAGAACTTGCCCGTCTTGGTGTCGAGCTCCGGGATCGAGCCGCCGATGAGGTAGGCGCCGCTCTCGGAGGCGATGGCCGCGAGGGCGTGGAAGCTCGGGGACTGCTCCTTGGTCGGCGGCGAGGGCAGCAGCGTCTCGGCGTACTTGGGGAAATAGTCGCAGCCGTAGGGCGAGTTGAAGCACTCGGGCAGCACGACGATTTTGGCGCCAGCATTGGCGGCCTCGAGGACCTTGGACCGCGCATTGGCGAGGTTGGCCGTCTTGTCGGCGCCGGAGGCAAGCTGGATGCAGGCGAGCTTGACGGGCTGCTTGAGCACCGGGGATGCGGAGGTGGCCATGGTGCGGAACGGGACGAGACGCTGGGAGGACGGCTTGAAGGCGGACGATGTGAGGTGGTGGAGGGTTCGGAGGGCGAGGCGCATTGTTGTTTAAAGAGAGTGTGTGTATGGCCCGGTTGACGTTGGGAGGGGACGGAGTGATGGTGGGGGGCGGTTGGAGGCGACGACATTGCGGGGCGATAACGGCGGGGTAGCTTCGGTGCGGTACGGCATCGGAGCTCATCCCTGCTGCCGGGCCGTTGGAGGACTGTGCAAACACTGTCGCTGACTGGGAATCCGATGGGCGCCACTACAGTGCGGATTGGTCGGACAATTGTCCGAAGCGTCGGGAAATGATGTGATCGGGGCGGCTCCGATGAATCGGCCTTTTCCAGTCCCGGCCGACGCTCCAGAGCATTCCTGCGGCGGGATGCGACATAGGGCGCAGACTACATGTCCAAGTCCGAACCAACAGAGATGATGACTGCATACGTTGTTGGTATTGAACCATTCTTGCCCCTGTCCATTTCCACGTTGCCGGCATGGCTCAGCCTGGATTCTATTCGCCATCACGCGCCTTCATACCAATTGTGCCATTTTACAAATCATGACTTCAATGATGCCGCTCACCACTGGATACTTCTCGAAAGGGATTGCTTTGTGAATGGGACCGTCAAAGCGTTTGCAATGGGGGCTCACGCGACAGCCACCACCAGATTCTTATTCCCATAACTCATCTCGCTATATTTATCCTCGTCTGGTCATGAGCGTTGGGATGTGACACCTTCATCGTCCCCCACAACGCACAACAACACACAGCCACCTTCATGCGACGATTCACCTGACGGCAGGGAGCCGAACATGTCCAGCACATCCCCATCTGGGCAACTGGCCAGTGACCACCTTCGGCACACCGTGCCGACGAATTATCTGTCCCCCACAGCCGCCTCTCACGGCAACTCATCATGTTCGTCCGTTGGAAGCCCCATGAAACGGGTCTTGTAAGCTTATATACTAGGATAGACGGTACCCGAAACTATGACAGCTTCCCTTTCACAGATACCTCCGTCAACGTCGGGGACCGACCGCCAGGACAGCTCCGCCTTCGCGGGTACCTGATTGAAGACGCGGCTGGTCCCATCTGCCCGGATCGCGGGGAAAATTTAAGATCTGAAGGTTAGCCAAAAGGGGTGGTGTCAATGCAAAGCCACAATGCATGAGACACGCCATGGCACACTCTGCGAAAGAGACTCTCTTGTAGTCCGGACATCTGGTGTGTAAATGCTTTTTTAACATGTTTTGTCCAATTTTCCTTTCGAGTTTAGATGCCTGCCTGCCTCGCAGTCGTGCCATTTCCACCCTTGGCACTACAGTCCACACACATCTCTTCTTTTCTTCTTGTTCCAAACATGAGGACAAAGCTTGAAACAGGGCATTAGGTATCAATCCATCGCACGCAAAACAGAATCAGCTCGGCCTCTCCCATGCTTTCGTTTCGTCTCATGTGAACCACCCTTCGCAACCTGCTCCGTCTTTCCCCCACGCCATACCCGCCGTTGAACCTCAAAGCAGGGGCCACGGCCTACCCACTGCTCTCTGCCGGCCTTGGTTGCGCGCTGTCAGGCTGTCGCATACTGACAATAATATGCAAAAACAAAGCTGCATGATTACCTGCCGCGTTTTGCAAGACTCCGTTCGGTAAATAACGCCTGCATATGGACAATAGATAACCAGAAAATAGACACAAAGGAAGCGGAAGTAATATACATCCAATTCGGTGCTCTCCGAGTCTGACTCAAACTCGCTTAGAGCTTGCGACGCTGTGGCTGGGCTGAACGCTCGCAGTGGATCGGGTGACGACGCCGAATGTTCTGAATGGATGGCGCCGCAAGGGGCGGGTTATGGACCTTGGAGGCCGCGGGTATCGATTAGATTCGGCATGTTTGGTAGATGCCATTTAGGAGTGTGTTGATATAGACGGAAGCCAACGAGTGGCGCAAAATTATCGCAGATCCGGCCTTATAGTATCAGCTGCTTCAGGTTGCGCTGTATGATCATGTCCTGCACTGAGCCCATAGTAATCTTGAGCAAATTTGTGTCGGTCGCGTTCGTGAAATGGCCGTAGATCTCCTTCTCGGTGTTTCGGTTCAGGGCACGGAACTTGTCCAAAAAGTACTTGCTGGCAGCCTTCCAATCGTCGGCGGGTCCGTGGTAGTCGGTGAAGCCGTGTGATGTGATGGGGTTGGTGGGCAGCTTCTCCTTGAAGAGATCCATCTTGTTGAGGAACAGAATCAGGGCAGACTTGGTGAACCAGTGCGAGTTGGCAATTGACTCCCACAACATGAGCGCCTCGTTCATTTGGTTCTAGCAGTGCAAGTTAGCAACGATAATTCACGACCACATTGGGGCACACCTACGCCGTCCTTGTCTTCGACCAAGCACTGGTCATATCCAGAAATGGCGACGAGGAAGAGCAGACAGTTGACATTCTCGAAGCAGTGGATCCACTTCTTTCGTTCTGAGCGCTGGCCGCCAACATCGAACATGCGGTAGGTCAGCTGGCCCAAGTCGAAAACCGTTTCCGTGATACCCGTAGTCCTCAATCTCGAGCGCAGCAAGTCCTGGTCCGTCGGTACGTAGGCATCGCTCCAGATACGGTCCAAATCGTCACAGAAGCTTCGGCAGGGTCAGCAGCAGGTTCCAAGGTTGTCGCATACCGCAAAGGTGACTTACTATGCCAAGTTGTCGTGAAGGGCGAACTCGTTGCCCTTTGCGATGGCTTGCTTGACGCCGCCGTCAGTCCAGAGCTCCTTGATGGGCTGCAGGTAATCGCGCGGGAGGGGATCTGAAGCGTTGATCTCGTGTTCCACCAGGATGTGCGCCATGTGTTTCTGTCAGAGACATTGCGTGTTAGTCTAGTCGTTCTTCTTTCACATGCGACAGCGCCGCATTTCGGATGCGACAGCCGCGCAATTGGCGTATTCGGGTTATGCTTGCCTCGTTTTCTGGGTTGCTAAACTCGATGTGCATCTCGGCCATGGCGTCTTGGATCAGGCGGAAGGATTGTACAATGTTGTTGAAAACAACAGGCTTCCACTCGAGCTTCTCGTTTTTGCTGAAACCTTGGGCGTAGATCAATTTCATCTGCTTAAGCACGGTCGACTTTCCAGATTCTCCGGCACCTGGTGATCGCAAAGGGATTAGTGGATTGCAGACACGACAATGTTGGCTGTTGTTGCGACAGCGTACCCAGCAACAGAAGCTTCACTTCTTTCGACATCTTCTTTTCATCCTGGCGGATCAAGCGGTCCAGGTCGCGCGAGCGGGCAGCGCCGCCATCATCCTTCGATCGGCCCCCGAAACACATGTTGTACCAATTCGACTCAATTTTGGCGGTGATTAGAGAATAGGAGGGGGGAATTGGCGCGAACGGGAGGTAGAAGGAATGCCGGCCCTCTAGTGCAAAAGAAAAGGTCGATCAATTCGCAGGCCGGGTGTGGCGGGCCTCAGGGATTGTGAGGTGATTCTCGTTGGCGAAGGCGAAAGCGACGGAGGAAAAAAAAGACTGCAGGCGGGCAGTCTAAGAAGGACGGTTGGGGGGTTGTTCGCGTCGGAGAAGAGTAATCTTTTTTGTTGTCCGAGGGCGTTGGATGTCAGGCAGATCAGACGAGGAGAAGCAAAGCCAAGAGAAAGCAAAGCAGAGCAGGCCAGGGACAGGGCGCACTCGAGAAGCAAAGGACTGAAGCCGACTCGACTTGCAAGAAGAGGCTGTGTGTGTTGTCAGGTGTGTATGTGGTGGTGTTGCGGAAGCGGTCAGTCACCTGGATGAGGTTGAATCCAAGGTGGTTTGACTGGCGTAGAGTAAGGAACGTCGGGGGTTGAAGAAATGGGCGGGCGAAGAAGCTTTTGTCGGTTTTAGGAGTGCCACGGCCAGTTTAGTAAAATGCGCTAAAAACCTTGGGGGCGTTCGTAGTGGACGCCCTGTGGGCTGCGGGTTGGCTAATGTTAATCCTGCAGCAGAGGAGCCCAGCAGCTCGACTTGCTTCTGTTTCTGTTCTGTGTGCTGCCCGGGGGCGAGGCCAATGGCGTGTCAGGGGAAAGACTAAAAGTGCTAGCGTGGGCGAGTGAGAGAAAGGAAGACGGGCAAAGTAGCGATGAGGCGAGGAGGACTGGAGCCAGGTAATGGCAAGGCAAGGTATCCGTAAGGTGGGTAAGGTTGGTTTGGCAAGAAGGACAGACGGAAAGGACGAGATGAGACGGGATGTCCAGCTCGAATTGGCAGAACGGGGAAGTTTGAGAGAAAGAGGTAAAGAGGTAAAGAGGTAGAGAGGTAGAGGTAGAGGAGGAGGAAGTGTGAGAGAGAGGACCGGGAGATGATGGGAGAAGAGATGTGAGGACGCACGAAGCAAGCACTGGACAGGACAGGACAGGTCAGGATAGGATAGGTAGGCACGAGGGAAAATGCACCTCGGCGGATACCTTGCGATACGTACTGGGCCTTCAGATTGAATAAAGTGTCTGCGAAATAAAATAAAACATACATGGAGAAAAAAAGAGTAAGGATTATGGTACACGGTTCATGGTCATGGTGGTCCATCCATCATTCATCAGTGCAGCTCAGTCCAGTCCAGCCCATGAAGACTGGAAGACTGGGGCAGACGGGAGTCGGGACCTAGAGAGAGACACAGAGAGCAATGGAAGCAAACAAGGACCTGCTGCTGCTCTGTGTCCAGGTGCCCCAGCACAGGTCGGGGGAGGTTATGGAAGGTAGCTGTTGCTGGTCTGGCTGTACCCTTCAGCTTGACTCCCGGCTGCAGGGTACAGACACGTCGCGTTCAAGGTACTTTGTTTCCATGCTTCATAGTAGATTCCATGGCCATCCCGGGTTCCAAGTTATCAACGGCAGAAACAACACAAGAGGCACAATTTCGCCGCTGCAAAACACGGACATTTCAATCCATCGAACGCGACCACGGCGGAGACGCTGGACGGGCATTGGGGACGCTGAGTGGAAGCCCACCGCAGTGGACATTGGAAAGGCCCAACAGGTGGACACTGGCGGATGGCACCTCGCCTTTCTCCCACCAGGTCCACCTGCACCTTCA